GATCCCCTCTGGCTCCACCAGCCCCTCCTGGATCTCCTCAGATCTCCTCAGATCCCTCTCTGGCAGCACCGGGGCTGGACTCTGGGGGACCCCGCGGGGCCTCGGACGCTTGGACACCCCCAGATCCCCCCTGGACACCCCCAGATTCATCCAGATCCCTCCTAGATCCACCTTGATCCTGGGATTTGGGCGTCCCAGGAGCCCCTCAGGGATCTCTGGGGGGTTTTGGTGGCTCCCCATGGATCCCTCCTGGATCCCCCCCCAGATCCCCCTGGATCCCAGGATTTGGGGGTCCCAGAGACCCCAGGGATCTCTGGGGGGTTTTGGTGGTTCCTTGTGGATCTTCATGGACCCTTCTGGATCTCAGGATCTCGGGGTCCCAGAGCCCCCCTGAGGATCCCTCCTGGATCCCCCCAGATCCTCCTGGATCCCTCCAGATCCCTCCTAGATCCACCTTGATCCTGGGATTTGTGGGTTCTGAGACCCCTCAGGGATCTCTGGGGGGTTTTGGTGGCTCCCCATGGATCCCTCCTGGATCCCCCCCCAGATCCTCCTGGATCCCAGGATTTGGGGATCCTGGAGCCCCCCAGGGATCTCTGGGGGGTTTTGGTGGCTCCCCATGGGACAGGAGCTGTGGTGGCACCGTGTGAGAGCCCAAGGGCCTGGGGACTCTGAGGGGACATTGAGGGGACACTGAGGGGACACCAAGGGGACACTGAGGGGAGCTGGGGTGGCTCTGTTGGGATGTCCCCATGGTCATCCAGGCCATGGTCACTCCATAGAGGTGTCCCCTCAGTGTCCTCAGCCATGGTCTGATGTCCCCCAGATGGTCCCAATGGTGGCCATGATGTCCCCCATGTGTCCCAGCCATGGTGGCCCTCCAGGTGACATCCCCAGGTGGTCCCAGTGGTGGCCTCAATGTCCCCTCAATGGTCCCAGTGGTGGTCTCAGTGTCCCCCAGGTGATGTCCCCCAAGTGATCCCAACCATGGTGTCCCCAATGTCCCCTCAATGATCGCAGTGGTGGCCTCGATGTCCCCCAGGTGACATCCCCCAGGTGGCCCCAATGGTGGCCTCGATGTCCTCTCAATGTCCCCTCTTTGGTGGCTTCCATGTCCCCTCAATGATCCCAGTGATGACCAGAGTGTCCCCTCAGTGGTCCCAGTGGTGGCCTCAGTGTCCCCAAGTGTCCCAGCCATGGTGGCCCCAATGTCCCCTCAATGTCCCCTCAGTGGTGGCTTCCATGTCCCCTCAATGATCCCAGTGATGACCACAGTGTCCCCTCAGTGGTCCCAATGGTGGCCATGATGTCCCCCATGTGTCCCAGCCATGGTGGCCCCTCATTGGTCCCAATGGTGGCCCCAGTGTCCCCCAGGTGATGTCCCCCAAGTGATCCCAACCATGGTGTCCCCAATGTCCCCTCAGTGATCCTGGTGGTGGCCTTGATGTCCCCTCAGTGGTGGCCACAATGTCCCTTCTATGATCTCAGTGGTGGCCACCACGTCCCCAGGTGTTCCCAGCCATGGTGACCTCGATGTCCACTCTGTGGTGGCCTCAATGTCCCCTCAATGTCCCCTCTGTGGTGGCCTCGATGTCCCCTCAGTGGTCCCAGTGGTGGCCTCGATGTCCCCAGGTGTTCCCAGTCATGGTGGCCCAAATGTCTCCTCAATGTCCCCTCAGTGATCCTGGTGGTGGCCTTGATGTCCCCCAGGTGACATCCCCAGGTGGTCCCAATGGTGGCCTTGATGTCCCCTCAGTGGTCGCCACAATGTCCCTTCTATGATCTCAGTGGTGGCCACCATGTCCCCAGGTGTTCCCAGCCATGGTGGCCTTGATGTCCCCTCTGTGGTGGCCTCAATGTCCCCTCAGTGGTCGCAGTGGTGGCCTCGATGTCCCCAAGTATTCCCAGTCATGGTGGCCCCAATGTCCCCTCAATGTCCCCTCTGTGGTGGCCTCAATGTCCCCTCAATGATCCTGGTGGTGGCCTTGATGTCCCCNCCAGCTCCACCAAGATCCCTCCTGGCTCCACCAGGCCCCACTTGGATCTACCAGATCCCACCTGGCTCCACCAGATCCCACCTGGACCTTCCAGATTTCACACAGATTCTTCAGATCCCACCCGGATCCTCCAGATCCTTCCTGGATCCTCCAGATCTCACACAGATCGTCCAGACTCCACCAGGATCCACCAGATCCCTCCTGGCTCCACCAGATCCCACCTGGACCTTCCAGACTCTATCAGGATCCACCAGCTCTCTCCTGGATCCACCAGATCTCACACAGATCCTCCAGACTCCATCAGGATCCTCCAGATCCCTCCTGGATCATCCAGATCCCACCTGGACCTTCCAGACTCCACCAGGATCCTCCTGGACCTTCCAGATTTCACCCAGATCCTCCAGATCCCACCTGGATCCTCCAGATCCCGTCTGGACCTTCCAGATCTCACATGGATTCTTCAGATCCCTCCTGGATCCCCCAGAGGTCACACAGATGCTCCAGACTCCATCAGGATCCTCATGATCCCTCCTGGCTCCACCAGATCCCACCTGGACCTTCCAGACTCCATCAGGATCCTCCTGGCTCCTCCAGACTCCACCAGGATCCACCAGATCCCACCTGGATCCTCCAGATCCCGTCTGGACCTTCCAGATTTCACATGGATTCTTCAGATCCCACCTGGATCCTCCAGATCCTTCCTGGATCCTCCAGACTCCATCAGGATCCTCCAGATCCCACCAGGATCCTCCAGATCCCACCTGGACCTTCCAGACTCCACCAGGATCCTCCTGGCTCCTCCAGACTCTACCAGGATCCACCAGATCCCACCTGGATCCTCCAGATCCCGTCTGGACCTTCCAGATTTCACATGGATTCTTCAGATCCCACCTGGACCTTCCAGACTCCACCAGGATCCTCCAGATCCCTCCTGGCTCCACCAGATCCCTTTTGGATTCACCAGATCCCCTCTGGCNGGGATCCGATGGGATCCATGAGCTGGGATTGAACCCTGATCCAGCCCAAACCCAGCCAGGATTGAACCCAGAGCCCGCAGGGCCGCGGGCAGTGCTGCAGCAACTGAGGGATCTGTGGGATCCGATGGGATCCATGAGCTGGGATCCAGCCCAAACCCAGCTCAAATCCAGCCAGGATCACAGCTGGGATCCACCAGGACTGAACCCAGAGCCCGCAGGGCCGTGGACGGTGCTGCAGCAACTGAGGGATCCCATGGGATCTGATGGGATCCATGAGCTGGGATTGAACCCAGATCCAGCCAGGATCCACCAGGATTGAACCCAGAGCCCGCAGGGCCGCGGGCAGTGCTGCAGCAACTGAGGGATCCAGTGGGATCTACTGGGATCAGAGCTGGGATTGAACCCAGATCCACCAGGACTGAATCCAGATCCAGCCCAAACCCAGCCAGGATCCACCAGGACACCAGGATTGAACCCAGGGCCGCGGGCAGTGCTGCAGCAACTGAGGGATCTACGGGATCTGATGGGATCCATGAGCTGGGATTGAACCCTGATCCACCAGGACTGAACCCAGAGCCTGCAGGGCCGTGGGCAGTGCTGCAGCAACTGAGGGATCCACGGGATCTACTGGGATCCATGAGCTGGGATCCAGCCCAAATCCAGCTGGGATTGAACCCTGATCCACCAGGATTGAACCAAAATCCAGCCAGGATCCACCAGGATTGAACCCAGACCCAGCAGGGCCGCGGGCAGTGCTGCAGCAACTGAGGGATCCACGGGATCCAATGGGATCAGAGCTGGGATCCAGCCCAAACCCAGCCAGGATCCACCAGGACTGAGTCCAGATCCAGCCCGCAGGGCCGTGGGCAGTGCTGCAGCAACTGAGGGATCCACGGGATCTGATGGGATCCAACCCAAATCCAGCTGGGATTGAACCCTGATCCACCAGGATTGAACCCAGATCCAGCCCAAATCCAGCCAGGATCCACTGGGATTGTCCCAGGATCACAGCTGGAATCCACCAGGACTGAACCCAGATCCAGCTCACAGGGCCGCGGGCAGTGCTGCAGCAACTGAGGGATCCCATGGGATCTGATGGGATCAGAGCTGGGATCCACCAGGACTGAACCCAGATCCAGCCCAAATCCAGCCAGGATCCACCAGGATTGAACCCAGAGCCAGCAGGGCCACGGGCAGTGCTGCAGCAACTGAGGGATCCACTGGGATCTGATGGGATCCAGCCCAAATCCAGCTGGGATCCACCAGGACTGAACCCAGATCCAGCCTGCAGGGCCATGGGCAGTGCTGCAGCAACTGAGGGATCCAATGGGATCCATGAGCTGGGATCCAGCCCAAATCCTGCTGGGATTGAACCCTGATCCACCAGGACTGAACCCAGATCCAGCAGAGCCATGGGCAGTGCTGCAGCAGCTGAGGGATCCATGGCATCTGATGGATCTACTGGGATCAGAGCTGGGATTGAACCCAGATCCACCAGGATTGAACCCAGATCCAGCCCGCAGGGCCGTGGGCAGTGCTGCAGCAACTGAGGGATCCATGGGATCCATGAGTTGGGATCTAGCCCAAATCCAGCCAAGAGTGAATCCAGATCCAGCCAGGATCCACCAGGACTGAGCCCAGAGCCACCCAGCAGGGCCATGGACGGTGCTGGAGCAGCTGAGGGATCTGATGGGATCCAGCCCAGATCCATCTGGGATCCAGCCCAAATCCAGCTGGGATTGAACCCAGATCCAGCTGGGATTGAACCCAGATCCTGTTGGGATCCAGCCCAGATCCAGCCGGGATTGAACCCAGATCCAGCTGGGATCCAGCCCAGATCCAGCTGGGATCACAGCCAAGATTGAGCCCAAATCCAACCCAAATCCAGCCGGGATCCACCAGGATTGAACCCAGATCCAGCTCACAGGGCCACAGCCAGTGCTGGAGCAGCTGAGGGATCCACCAGGATCCAGCCCAGATCCCAGCCAGGATCCCAGCAGATCCCAGCTCCATCTGCACCCTGGGGCTCTCCCTGAGTTCTCTCCCAGCACTGTTTGAAGCTTCCAAGGCTCCACCTCGGCACCAGAT